TCCTCAGCCAAACTCTTGATTCTAAGATGAGCACAGAACTAGGCTTTGGCGCTGATGAGCCAAGTGAAGATTGTTTAATTAAAGGTGCCAAGCTGTGTGCCCAAAGTTAAGTTGCAGACCGAGAGATAGAGGAGCCTGGTAATGTCACCTTGGAGAAAACTATCAGAACTGGGTGTGAGACGCTTGAGACAAAAGACCAATCTGAGCGCCTAGAAAACTGCTGCAGAATTTAACTGCAGAATTCCTGGCCCAGAACATAATTAGATGCCTTAGGAAAAGACACTCCATTGCAACAAAGGCCATTCTAAGATATCAGAAGAGCATCAATAGCTCCCAGCTCACCCCCTTGGCACCACCCTAGCATTGAGTTTTGGGAGACAGTTTGGGAAAATGGTATAACTTGGCACAGAAGATGCACATTTGCCAGCATCTCTGCCTTAGGTATGCATTTCCTTTTTTTTTTTCTAATCTTAGGGTGCTTTTACCCACATCCCTTGCTTTATATACTGCTATAAAAGCAATGTCGCTTCAATTTTAAAAAAAAATTTCTTTGAACTAAAAAAGTGTTTTTGCAAAAATAAAGCATTGTCACATGGGAGCAGACGCAGGGTTCTTTGGCTTGCAGAAATGCCTCACGTTGAGAGAAAAGTCTGCACAGATCACCGCAGGCCCAGAAGTTCTGGGATTGGCTTTTTCAGAAGAACAGGTAATTTTGAGAGACACAACCAGCAAGGATTTTGGATAGAATGGGGGGCGGGGAGGGGAAATGCATGGCAAATCAAGTGACATAATGGGTAATAAAAGGATAATAACTAAGCAAGCAACACAAGGATAATAAAAGAATACCACAGGGTTCAGTTGTGGAAAGTTTCCACTTCAGTCAATAACTGATTGGCCAAAATGATGTCATAACAATGTTTAAAGATGGGAGGGGGTGGAGAAAAACACAAGTATAATCAAGGTGGGAAAGCAAACTAAATCTTCACCTTCCACTGTGTCAGTGGATAATGCTACAACAGAACACTCACCCAGGGGCCTCCACTTTGAAGCAGCATGATACTCAGTCAAGGGTGGAAGTAATTTTGTTAGAGGCACTTCAGGGTACTGGGCCAAGCAGTTCAATGCTTGGACTCAAGAGGGTGCTGCTCAAGAGTATTCAACCAGACTATCATGAAACTTAGTTGAAATTTTACAGTTATGATTAGTCATTGCATGTTTCCCCCACTAGAGCGTAAGATTCTTAAATTTCTTTGTAGTCACCAGTAACCTTTGCACCTGAGTTAAGGAGGTTCAAATAAAGAATACTGGACACATTTTAAAGTATAATGTAGAAATAAGCTGGGCTTCAATACCGCATGTTGTGTGATTCTATTTATATGACATGACTGCAAAGGCAAATCTATAGAGACAGTTTAGGGGTAAGAGTAGAAATCTCCTGATGATTTACTATAAATTAGTGGTAAGAGGGACTTACTAAAGTGATTTATAATAATAAAAATAAGTATTCCTTATGAAAGTTTCATCACAAATCAGTAATTTTATTTTTTAAACGATTTTTTGTTTAAAATGGGTAAATGTTATCATATATAACTTATACTTTAATAAGTGGTTAAAGACAAAAATTATTAGTTGAATAAACAAAGGAATATAGTTACTAGAAGTAGGATCTTTAGCATGTGTTCAGTGTTTATCTACACTTTTTGTCTGAATTTTGTTCTATACCACTCTTTACACCATACTTGGTAGGGGTGTATATCTTGGTACCTAATACTATGTGTCAATCCTTAATATATATATATGTATGTATATGTACACACTCTTATTCCTTGATTTGAAATAATTAAATTGGTGCATTGAAGAGTTCCAGATTCTCTCTATATATATTTGAGAAACATACACAGAGTTTCTCTTATGACATAGGCCAATGAAAATCAAATTTGGGATTCCTAAGAAGCAAATAATGCTAGACAGGAATCAGTGTCCTCAATGCAAAAAAAAAAAAAGACATTTGCAACACCGTAGCTTCTAGATTTTAAAATCTGGTCTAGATTTATGACTTCAGAAATTAGATGCAATAATGCTTGGCCTTAGTGCCATCTTCCAAATGAGAGCCACGGGGAGAAAGTGAACTCACAGGTTGAAGCAAAGATGAGGCTGAGGTCTTAGCCACAGGAACAGAAATAAATGTCAAAGGACACTGGGCACTGGTAGAACTGCAGGCTGATCTCTAGAATTTATTTCATTGGATTTGGGTCATCTTTTACCATTTTCTCTTTCCTCATTCCAGTCCCTTTTGGTCCTTTGCTCTGGGCCTGTGACTTATGTTCTGATCAGCCAAAATGATATCATAACAATGTTTAAAGATGAGGGGTGGGAAAAACACATGTGTAATGAAGGTAGGAAAGCAAACCAAATCTTCACCTTCCACTGTGTCAGTGGATAATGCTACAATAGAACGCTGTAGTATTTATGTTTTCAGATCTTGCTGAACATAACCTGTGCATAATAAGTCATTTTTTTATATTAACTGAAGAGAAAACCAAAAGAGGTACAATTTCATTGGGATGGGCAAACTTTTAATCTAAATGTCTAGATTAATAATTTTTGCCCAAGTCCAATGCTCTCTGATCCATCTGTCTCTTAGGGTGGATTTGCCTGCATTTCAGTTTGCCTTTATTTTGAAAACCTAAGTAAGGGTGTTTTGAAGTAGGGAGATTGGAATGGAGGAGAGATGAGGAGAAGAGGTGGAGACAGGGCAGGGAGTGAAGAAACCATTGTGGACAGCAGTTTCTATTGTGGACTCTCCAGCCTAAGGAACTGTGAGGACAGCTTGGAAACTGTCCCTCGCTCAGCTGACTCCTACCTGCTTTGGTCATGTAACAATATCTGGTTGTATTAGTCCCTACCCTGCCCCTCAAACCCTCCCCCCTTCCTGCTCCTGATGGCCTTCCAGTGCTCAGGGTATGTCCTGGGGCAGCAAAGTTCTGTGGGACCTACTTGATGTTAACTTGCCAGACTGCCCATAGCTGAAACAGCTAGACTGAGGCAGGAAGTGGCTCAAGGGGTGTAACTCATGCTTGCATCTGTCCAGAGGACTAAAGATATCTTTGAAATAAAACTTCATCAATAGCTAGACATTTGATGACATACGACCTCCAGTACAACTTCATATAAACATGTTTTTTGTTTTATTACCAAAAACTTTTGCAAATGGTAGAAATACATATAACGGGAATCACATGAACCGAACCAACTGCATAAACTACATAATGAGCATTCTGGTTGGTATTCTCTTTAACATACAAACATTCATTTCCATAATAATTCCCAGAGAGCCAAGTGCCTCGGCCAACTTTTGCAGACTTTGTTATCTCAAGCAATCTAAGTAAAAAATTAGCGTGGCTTATGTAGAAACCCCGATAGGGGCTAGTGTAGTACTTGATCCACATAACCATTAGTGGATTAGTGTTTGTTCGAGAGCACAAGGAAACAGAAGGTAAGTGGGAAAACCTGGAGTTGAAAGGCGCAAAGCCCATTTCCTGTCCTGTGTTCATATTTCTCTGAGAGAGGCAAATACCTTGACTTTAACTTCATTCCCCCTAAGGTGTGCACTCATTACACAGGATGCCCATATTCTATGATTGACAATGCTCACAATCACAAAGATCTTCTAGGATACTGGCTCAAAAGAAAAAAAAATGAACAGGAGAGATACTTTATTTTCAACCTATAATACCAAATAGTCACATCTATCTGGCATAACTAATCTATAGTAGCATATGAATTTGACTGTACATTATGAGTTTGTCATAGATATTTTAGATTGGAAACATCAAATGTGATTTAAAGCCAAATAGTTTCCGAGAATCATTCAAACATGAAGATAACACGATTTTGGTCTCTGCTTGTGCAAGATTCTATCTAAAGGGGGAGCCTCATTAAGGAATGCTATCAAAATATTAAAAAATTCTTTTTCACAAATGGCAAAAGCATGAACTCAATGACTATGCACTAACTTTATCATTTATCAGTAGGGATAAAAGTATGCATAGAAGAATAAACTGCCATTTACCTAAATTCGAGGAAGTTTTTAAAAGTCAATATATTTGGCATTATTGAAGATTTTGAAGATCATTTTAAATTTAGTTTTTACCTTTTGGTGATTTGGGATCCATCTATTGGTTTTACCTTATTGGGAGGGGTTCAGGGTCGGGGTCCCTGGCCCCATACATGTAAGACAAATACACTTCTACTGAATTACATCCTGACCAGTTCGATCTCAATTTTTATATAAGTTGAGAGCTAAATTAACTCCCTCTTTAGGAAGAAAAATATGACATGTTGCTTTTGCGGCTTTCTTGTAGAGAAAGAGAAAATTGGGTCAAATAAACTCATAAAAATTAGAAGCTATGTAAGTGAAAAGCCCTTTTTTTTATTTTCCACTTACACTGAAATTTAGCTTGCTCTGGCACCCCCAGAATTACGTTTTAAAGAATTAATATAGTTATTGATTCTATACCAGTAACAATGATGGGTCTCATTCTCCTAAAGAGCCTTGAATATAATCTCAGGGCTAGGATGAAAGAGACGTTACTGGGGCCTGCTCGAGGCAATCGACGAATAACAGGATGATGAATGAATGAATGAATGAATTGATTCTATGAATACTTTGTCAGATAACTGCATAAGTTTCTCAGTCAAAACTAAATAGCTGAACTTTGAGAAAGAAAATGCCCTTAAATATACTTGAATTCAGTGACACGATGGTTTAGGTCGCACTGAAAACCAGAGGCCTTGTCAAGATATTGAAGCTCTGCTTCAGTCTGAAAGGCCTTTTCTTAAAGCACTTTCTGTGCATATTTTCAGAAACTTCATTCTGGACGCAATGATCATCCCAGGATGAGTAGCGCACATTCTTCTGCCCTTCTGAGTGACACTGAGCCTCCAAACACTGGAAGGAACTAAATATGAGGAAAGAAGAACTTACAAAAACAATGACAAACTTACCAAGGGACAACTGCCCCAGAACACTTTAATGCAGTCAAACTTCCTGAAACATACAGATACCACAGGCTGTAGATAGATGTTCTTTTCATACTTGTAAATAATTTTTACAAATAATCACTCCATAGCATTGTAATTAATACACGTGTATATATTTTAAGACAGGAAAAATCAGTTACTGAGGACATTATCCCAGATAAACCTTTCCAAATGTAGCTTTGACCAAAAAACCCTCCAATCCCCACCTCCCCCTCCAAAAAAAACAACAGTTACTATTCACAAGAGCAGTTAGTTCCACAGTATGTTAGCATATGTTGTCCTGACCATTATTTACTCTCAAGTCAAAAAAGTACAATAACCCTCAAGTGTAACCCAACAGTTCACAGGCTCCACCCAACCACATACTTCACCCAGCTGATTCCTACCCAGATGAGATCACCTGATTATCTCCTCAAAGGAATTATGAACTGGAGTTTAGCATGAAATGCAAATGAACTTTTCAAAGAGGAAGCTAGATGCATGGGAACAATATATCAAAGAGGCTGCCATTTTACCCTGGGTTCCGAACTCTGGTGGAGTGTGCATGGAAGAAATGAGTGAGATACAACATAGAGTGGTTTGTATGCACTGGGCGGGGAGGTGGGGAGGGCATAACATCTGGTGAATGAGACATACTGAGCGAGGTTACATGAACAAGTGATGCAGAGACCTTAGAACCACAACAGTGCTCAGAAAAGTCTGGGGTTTCCAACAACAACAAAAAGGACTATCTAGGAGTTTATTAAATACTTGCCCGACACACGAGATACGAAACAACTTGTCAGGGGCCATGGGATTCTATGAGGCCTTTTGGCCATTCGCATCGGTCTGTTCTTTAATCTCCGGCCAGAATGCTCTTATCCTAGCAAGCACCGTCTTCTCCCTCCTTTCGACGGCAGGTCACAGGCCTGTCAGGCTGGATGACTCCTCCTCGTCACGATGCAGAGCAGGACAGCTCGTGAGGTTCCTTCAGCAGCTCAGGGCCTGGTTAGGCTCGTATGAGGGGCGCTCTTTCGTCTGCTGTTCCCTGGGGTTCACAAAAGAGTGCAGAGGAAGTCAGAGGGATTCCCAGATACAAAGAGGTGGAGGAGTGGCGAGTCTGACAGGAAGGCCTCCGCCTGTGACGCCACTTACCTCCTTCCTCTTGGTGGTCATCTGCTTGCCCTTACAGGCTCAGCCCTGACCTCGAGAAGGGCTGCTCTGGTCACCTCCCCTACCTCCACTGACTCCCCCAAGAGTGCCCTCCTCTGCGTGGGCCTGCAGTGGAATTCTAACATGCTTTTGAATCTGCCTCCTTCCTGCCTGCGAAGATACCAGGCAGGTGCTCAATAACTGTTTTCTAGTTGAATGCATAAAGATGAATCATTGGAAGAGGCTGTAGAAACATTTCTATGTGCGCTCGTCCATGCTTATAAAAACCTCAGTGGCTCTATGATGTCAGACTGGAGACCCCAAGAGAAACGGCCAAAGAGTTGAAGCTTCGCTCATGTATGCTCATGTGATGGGCGTGGGTTAAGACATGTTAAGGGAGCATGTGGGAAGGAGGGATTCTGCACAGTATCACAGCCTACTTTGTTTTCTATTCATGGTGTTTTCTACTCTATTCTTCAACCTGAGACAACAGGTTGAAGCAGCCAGGAAAGAAAACAAGCTTTTGTTGTAAAAATACAGAAGCTTCTGGAAGTTCTGAAAGGATTCTGCAGAAAGGCCCATCGGAACTAGTGAGACTCATGGATCAGCAAGCTTGTCACTCAGGGAAGTGAGTCTGCAATGTTTATACTAATAATAGTCTCTGGAAGGCGCTTCCCTGCCTTGTCACCTTAATACAATATTGTTCTGATGCCTCACTGGTAGATTTCTTCTGCTCTACCAGGGATTCTTGGAGGCGGTGGGTCATGGGTATGCAGAGCTGGGCCACATCTGGAGATCCTCAGGGCTACTCTAGGCTCTGCACTAAGGCACATAGTGCTCAAGGGACCATATGGGGTGCTGGTAACCGAGGTCATCTGCATGCGAGGCAAGCACCATAACCCTATACTATCTCTCTGGCCACTCTGTCATGGATTCTGACCATGCAGGTCTTTGGCTACCTTGCACTGTAATCTTGTAACTTGTTTTATCACGGAACTAATGCTTATTGAGTGCTTACTGAATGGTGACACTGGTTAAGTGCTTTATATCTATTATGTCATTTCAGCCTTATAAAAAAATTCCAAAGGGAGTTGCTATGATCTCAATCATTCCTGGTGGTGACTAGAGGAACATAAGGGGTGCTGGGGATCAAACCGGCATCAGCTGCATACAAGGCAAGGGCCTTAACACCTATATTATCTCTTTGTTCCCAGGAGTTGCTACTATTATTCTATTTTTTTTTTTTTAGATAACAAAATGGAGACCATTTTTAGGCTCACACAGTTACCAAACAGCAAAACTGGGATTTGAACGAGGCAGTGTAACACTAAACCCCTGGAGTCATATTCTTCCTCTGTGTTCAGGTTACCATATTTAAAGGCATAAGGCATTTAGCCAGATCCATTCTCACCAAGAGTACCCTCCAGACTGGACCAGATTAGTCTATCACTTTTTCTTCATCAACAGACTCCCTTGATTCTCACATCATCTAGATGTAATAAAAACCATAAAATTGCTATTATCAAGTCCCAAACCCCCACTCCCACCCATCAGGGTGGGCTGATGACTCTTCCAGAAAGCACAGCTGGATACCTCAGGCAAAGAGACTGAGGAAGAGAGATGCTTCACCTCATCCATGGATCCCTGGCCCTTGCACGCGAGCCACGTGAAGATCAAGCCAAAGAGCACGCCAAGCGCCATGATGATGTAGGGTATGTTGGTGATGATGGAAGTGGTGTTAATCACAGACTTCAGGCGGCTTGCAATCTCTTCATCAATCAGAACACTCTGGGAGGGGGAAAGAGTATCCCTGGGTTACAAAATATTCAGGCATGAGACTGTTTCGTTGTTATTATTGTTGTACAAATAATGAAACCCATTTGGGTATATTGTTTGGTTAGCAAAATCGGAGATACTAAAAATCCCTTTAGAGGGACACTGGGAATCTTTTATTTAATAATATCCTTCCTTATTCCCTAAAGACACATTTTAGTTTCCAAATAAGTGAGGGGGGTGGTGAAGAGAGAAAAGGTGTTCAGAAATATTGAGACAGTATCTTTTGTTTTGAGACAGTATCTTTCGTTTGGGAAATTTTAAGTCATCCTTCAAATCTGACTCAACACAGCTTTTCTCCAAGAACACTGCTCTGGTCACTTCAGGGCCTTTAAAGATCTTTTTTCTGTGCTCCCATTACACTATCTTAGCACTCTGCACCTTTACTGTCTGTTTTCCTGCTGGACTGCTTATGAGTGTGAGGTCCATAAAGGCAAGATTCTCATCCCAGGTTCTTCAACCCTAGGTACTGCAGATCTGCATATTGTAAGTGCTTAGTTAATGCTGGCTTCTTGAAAGATACATAAATAAAACATCCTGACAACGGGGTGTGGAAAAGTATTTTTTTCTACCTGAATTAGCTCTTTTTGAGGAGTGAGGGGTTTGGGCTACAACTAGCTATGCTGAGGGCTTACGCCTGGCTTTGTGCTCAGAGATATTCCTGGCCGGCTTAGGGGATCTATGGGTTGTCAAGGACTGAACCCAGGTTAGCTGCATGCAAGGCAAGTGCCTTACCCACTGTACTATCATTCCAGTTCCTCTTAAATAGCTCTTTACTAATTTGAATTAATCTGTCAGGACTAGAAATCTGCAGAGAAAAGTATTCAGGAAGTCTTGAGACTAACCAGAATTCCAGAGTGCAGAGATAACTCAGAAAGTATTCTAAAATGATATATTCTTAAATTTTTTAAAATTGGCATACTATTTTCTATGGACAGAGCAAAGGTACTACCATCTTAAATTGTAATAATATTGTATCTAGAGATCTTAACTCCAAAAATAGCATGAGCCATAAATGAAAAAAATGTTTATCACAGGGCTCTTAGGTGTCTTCTGAGCTTTAGAATGTGCTTCTCTTAACAAGACTTCAAGTCTAAATTCAGAAATAAAATTTTGGTAAGTATACTTGAAAGGGGTTGGAGCGATAGCACAGCGGTAGGGCATTTGCCTTGCATGTGGCAGACCTGGCCGACCCAGGTTCGATTCCTCTGCCCTTCTCGGAGAGCCCGGCAAGCTACCAAGTGTATCTTGCCTGCACGGCAAAGCCTGGCAAGCTCCCCATGGTATATTCGATATGCCAAACACAATAACAAGTCTCACAATGGAGACGTTACTGGTGCCCGCTCGACAACAGTGTAGTGCTACTGTGAAAGAATATTCTTCAGGAAAACCCCTCTTGTTTGAACAAAGATAGGATCTGTTTTCTGTAATCATAGATAAGTTTGTTACCAGAAAGTAGAAGAAACTATTTTATAGTGAAGCCTACAACAGCTATGTGTCACTAAAAGTCAAGGGCATGCATTACACTTTATTTAATCACTGCCTCACTGCCTTGCATACCTTATTGTTTCTTACAAAGCCAGCTCACCAAGGCTTTCATCTAAATAAGTCCTTGAGAAGGAAAAAAATTTGGGGGGTAAGGGGTGGTGAGGATGTTGAACAGGACATTCAAGCAGTACTCAGAGTGATAGAAGTCAGTACCCAAAACTCAGATGTGGTTCAGAGCAAGGGCCTGAGGACGCTAGTCTGAACCCAGGCAAAGGGTGTGTCAGGCATGCACCCAAACCCCTGTACTCTCTCAGACCCTAGAAAAGATGTTTCCTTCCTTCCTTCCTTCCTTCCTTCCTTCCTTCCTTCCTTCCTTCCTTCCTTCCTTCCTTCTTCCCTCCCTCCCTCCCTCCCTCCCTCCCTCCCTCCCTCCCTCCCTCCCTCCCTCCCTCCTTCATTCCCTCTTTTTTATTTTTTGGTTTGGTTTTTGGGACAATTTGGCAATGCTCAGAGGTCACTCCTAGCCCAGAGGCCAGGGGTCACTGCTGGAGGTGATCAGGAGACTAGATGGTGCTAGGACTGAGCCCAAGGCTTCTGCGTGCAAAACATATGCTCCAGTCCTGTAAGCTAGTTCCCTCGCCTGAGAAAGGAAATCTCTATCATTTGCAAATCTCAGACCCAGGTGGCTTTTCTGTAAACTGAACATTTCAGAGGACAAACAGGAAGTTAAAGACCTCTTTCAAATTCCTCTTTCCTCTCTTTTCATCAAGTGTCTTAGCTGATTGGCAGCAACCCAGTCGAGAGCGCGGATGCGACAGTCCTGCGGCCCGCTGCTGGCACTCACCTCATTGATGTACATCACGGGGAACACCATGTTTCTAATATTGCCCGTCTCACTGCAAATAAAAGCACATGTTTCAGAGACACCCTTGTTAGGATGGCACGCTGGTCTGGCAAGGCATAACATAGAAAACTCCATGTAAACACACAGAAATCCCCAGTTAGTTTCCAAACTGTCAGTCTAACATCTCCAAGCTGTGAACATTTATGTTAAATTTTTGAGTGTTTTGTTGTTGTTATTTTTATGCATGTATGTATATGGACCAGAGACAGAACCCAGGGCATCACGCGTGCAAGGCAGGTTCTCCCTGACTGAGCTACACCCCCAGCCTTAAGTATTTATTTATTTGGGGTTTGCGACCCCACCCAGTGGTTTTCAGTGCTAATTCTTGGCTCTGTGCTCAGGGATTACTCTTGGCCGGGCTTAAGGAACCATATGGTATGTCAGGAATCAAACCCAGGTCAGATGTGTGCAAGGCAAGCATCCTATCCCATGTACGATATCTCTGTCCTTCCCAAGATTTTTTTTCTTTAATCCAAGTACAAGAGGTCAGGGGCTGGAGAGAGACAGCTAGGCAGGTTGGAGCGTTCCATGAGAGCACCACCAGAATGACCCACAAGTAACAGAGTCAGGAGTAGGCCCTGAGCCTGGGGGAAGGGGGAGGGGGTATATGCCACCCCCAAATATAAGATGTCAAAAAAGCAAATTCATCAAAAATGATTGCTGTTCTCTCCAAAATGATGAGCATGGCAATGCAGTACAATGCTGTAATTCCTTAGAATGCCTTAAAACCGGCCAACAGTGTTTTCACACAAGCCCAACACTATTATTCACTATTATTTACTGAGCATTTACACGTGCTCAATTCTGGTAATGGAGATATCATCTGCTCTGATCCTCACTGATGTCCCAGGTGGCACTATTACTGCCCCGGGTGGAAGATGAGGAAGCTGGCTCCAAGCAATGTTTCCTACCAAAAGGGAGTGACGGAGGCAGCATTGGAACTGCACCTGGCCTCCTGAGCGCTGAATCTTTACTAGTGAGTGAGACGCCTCAGCCATTCATACCTGGGTGACGAAATGCCTTCTTTTTAAGACTGCTTGGTTAGGGGCCACACCTGGCAGTTGTCAGAGGTTACTCCTGGCTCTGCATTCAGGAATCACTCCTGGCGGGGCTCAGGGCTCCATATGAGATGCCAGGGATCAAATCATGGCTGGCCATGTGCAAGATAAGTGCCCTATCTGCTTATCCAGCACCAATTTTCTTCTTCTTTTTTTAATTTTTTAAAAATTTTTATTTATTTATTTATTTGCTTTTTGGGCCATATTCGGCAATGCACAGGGGTTATTCCTGGCTCTGCACTCAGGAATTACTCCTGGCGGTGCTCAGGGGACCAAATGGGATGCTGGGAATCGAACTCGGGTCAGCCGCGTACAAGGCAAACACCCTACCTGCTGTGCTTTTGCTCCAGCCCCTCTTCTTCTTTTTTTTTTAATAGGCATTTTCTTATATCTAAAAAAAAATCCCCACTGAAAATGAACTCTTAATTAAGTAGTGCTTTGAGAAGGTCCTGGACTCAGAAGACCATATCAACTGTCCAGGGAAGAGCTGTGGCCAGCTCTGGAGAGCGTTGGGAAAGAAAGGAACAAAAATCTATCAGGTCCTCGGGAGAAACAATACAACAGTTGAGAGCAGCCTCTGCAGTCCAACAAGCTGTGTGAGTTCTAAAAAGTTATTAACCTTTCTGTGCCTCCAACTCCTCATCCACGGAAATGGACCTAATATATGGTTATGGCGAGGTCTAAAGAAGTTTGAATGTGTAGTTGCTATACCCGGGTTTATGGATCCTCAAGTGAAGAGCCGGAAAGAGGCACACACAAGTCAATGCAAAGGCAAAGGATTTTTAGTCCAGTTAACGGGGGTTAACTGTCTCACCCACAGAGTAGTGGTACTTCTTGATAGCGACCCCGACCTTCAAATGCAGGCAGTTTATATAGGGTTTGATTACATAAGCAGTACATGCCTTAACGTTTCAGGAAAATCTTGCTTAGTGACCAAATAAAGGTGTTTGGCAAGTGTCTAGGGTATGCGTTGGACTCTGATAGGCTTGTGGTTGCTGGGTACATTTTCTATGGGTTCTGGCACAATGTGATTGATTGAGCCCACTTACTGGGCCCAGGAATTTTTCAGGTGGGTTCAGGTTGGCTAGTTACACATTGTTTGATTTCTAGGAAACGGAAACTGTTTCAGTTCCAGGAACTTAACCTGAGGCCCCCCTGACTTCAGCTTCGCCCCTACATAGTGTTCTGCAAACAATGCCTCACAAAAATCATGACCATCCTGTTGTTCATCGATTGCCTCGAACAGGCCCCAGTAACGTGTCCTTTGTCCTAGCCCTGAGATTTTTTAAAAAGTGCCATATTAAAAGCTCTTCCAGGGTTAGGAGAAGGAGACCCATCATTGTTACTGGTATTTGGCATACTGGGTATACACCATAGGGAGTTTGCCAGACTCTGCCGTGTGGGCAGGTTACATTTGGTAGCCTGCCATTTTGTCCAAAGTAAGAATGAGATAATAAGGTTATAGTCTCTGGGTCTTGGCCGTTGAAGGAGATTACACGGCGCCAGGGGGCCAGTTGGTGGGTGTGACCCCCGCCTACTGGGATTTGGAGGATCTGGGTGGAGGATGCTCAGCCCCGATCCGAGCAGGCTTGGAGATCTCAGTCCCAGGACCCGCATGCCCCGACCAGGGCTCCGGCAGCCGAAGACCTCCAGAACCAGCCACCACCATGGTGAGACCACTCTCCACACACATGAAGGTACCGGCAGAGGAACAAAGGCATGCGGGTCCCGGGGCTGAGATCTCCAAACAATGCCTCATCCACGGAAAACTCAGTATTTGAAGAGCGTCAGGAAATTCTGAGACCAAGCAGCCTATGAAAATCCCACTCACACCTCTGCTCCGAGGGGCAGAAGTGAATAAAATCTGAACGTGGATTGTGTCTCTGAAAGATCAACCCTCCCCAAAGCACATGGAGCCAAACTCCTGCTGCCTCTATAGAAAAAAAGCATCACTTACATAAAGTCGCCTAATTTTCTGACGTAAACGTTGATCTGGAACCGCTTGGCTGCTCTGAGGATAATTCCAGTCAACTGCAAGTGTAAGAAGTGGGAGAAAAGCATTAGCACTTATTGAAGCCAAAGGCAGAATGTGTTTTGGCTAGAGCAACACTTCTGTATGGTTGATACGCAGGGTGTGCAGTTCCTTACTTGATCTGCCAAGAGAAACTAGGGAAATTGGACCCCAAGACAGGAGAACTGTGGACTGCGTCAGGGGTCTGGCAGACTAAGGTTTCTCGGATTTTCACATGCCTGTGAGTTCTCAGATCAGTTCTGCAGACTTGATTTGTTAGGTCTGGGGTGGGGCCCGAGACCGGGCACTCCTAACAAGTATCCAGGATGGTATTACTTTGTTTTGTTGTTGTTGTTGTTGTTGCTTTTTGGGTCACACCTGGCAATGCACAGGGGTTACTCCTGGCTCATGCACTCAGGAATTACTCCTGGTGGTGCTCAGGGGACCATATGGGATTCTGGGAATTGAACCCGGGTTGGTCGCGTGCAAGGCAAACACCCTACCTACTGTGCTATCGCTCCAGCCCCAGGATGGTATTACTTTGAAGCGCAAAGTTATCACTCTGAGAGACCCTGCAGGAGGGAGAACCAACAGCCTGGATATCCAAAAGCAACAATGAGGACGCTGGTCAGAGATGACGAAAGGTGTTTAGAAGAGTCAGGACCACATGGAGAACTGGGCAAAGTGCCTGCATCTTCTGCCTCTGGGCCTGGTTCCCATCTGGGAAACAGATGAAAACCAGACTCTGGAGCCCTAGTATGTAGACCATGGAATAGATTTTTTTTCAAGAGGAAATTACCTATATTTTATTCATCTATTATTTTAATTTTTCCTTTCCTTTCCATTTTTTTTTGTTGTTGTCATCACTGCAGTGTCCAGGATCATACTGCAGTATACCAACAGTTGCGTATTTGTGAATAAAGCTAAAAAAATACATTTAAAATTCAACCCTAATATTCCTGGTGATGAGTGAGCAGAGGGATGTCTCCAGGCCTGCGGATCTTTGTCCAGGGGGAGAAATGCCTGAATGTTGACCAGGTGACAGGGATCCATTTCACTCATCTCAGGGATGGAACTGGCATTGTGGCTTTTTGGTTCCAGCATAGTTTATGACTGCATATCACATCTACAAAATTCGGCTTTCTAATCACAGGGCACTAAGATTACGCATTGCATTGCACAGAGAAGAATTTTCCCTGCTTGCTTATGAAAGGAAAACAGTTCATGTCTTAAAGTTTCAAGGACTACACTGGTAAATACAGTGTAGAAAGAATAAAAGGTTTGATGGCTATGATGGACAGATATTGGCATTTTGGTGGTGGGTGTGGTATGGTCATTCTAAGGAATAAAACATTCATATTCTTTTAAACCAATGTTATTGCAATTAAAAATATACCTAAGAAAGAAAAGAAGAAAACACAAGCGATTTTACCAGGAAGACATGTGTACTCACTGGATTAATGTCCACAAAAGTCTCATGGTCGTCCTTATTCGGGTGCATGCCTTCTATAGCAGAAACAAACTTCTCATCTGCCTGATAAAAGTGTGGCAAAGACATAATGATAGGTGCACCTGCATTTTAAGGAAAAAAAGACATATATTATAGGATTAAAGTCCAAGACAAAGGGCCAGAGTGACAATACAGAAGGTAGGTGCTTGCCTTGCACTCAGCTAATTTGGGATTTAATCCCTGGCATCCCATATCATTGCCCAAGCCCGCCAGGAGTAAATCCTGAGCATAGCTGGGTGTGGCCTCTCCACCAAAAATAAAATAAAATAAAACCCAAGAGAAATTCATCAAAGTTCCTAAGCATGGGGTCGGGGATGCAGCCTGTATGCCTTGTCTGAGTGAGTCCCTGCATTTTGTTCCAAGCACCACAAAACAAGAAAAGAAAATGAAGAAAGCGAAAGAAAGAAGTATGAAGAAAGATAAAGGCTACAAGAAAAGTGGCTTGTTCTTAAACTCATGCTCGCCCTCAGGTGTGGTCCTTTCTGTCGCTCTTTGCTCGCTTGCTCTTTCAAGCTGGTGTCCACTCTTGGACAATAGTCCTTTCCTTTGCCCCAACTCTCATCTTTCTACATTAGTTTTGATCAATGAAACTATGTTTCTTGAAAAAAAAAAAATAAGCTAGGGGCTGGAGCAATAGTACAGCGGGTAGGGTATTTGCCTTGCATGTAGTCAACCTGGGTTCAATCCCCGCCATCCCATGTGGTCCCCTGAGCACTGCCAGGAGTAATTCCTGAGTGCCAAGCCAGGAATAAGCACTGAGCACCATTGAGTGCACCCCAAAAAAAGCCAAAAAAAAAGGAAACTGGTGGCAGGGGTAGTGGGAGTGAACAGGCGAAAATTCCCTTGCACGCCTGTGCGTTTGGGATTTACACTTCGTTTTCTGACATCTCGTTGACCCCACATTATATTTTGTTCCACCATATATGTTCAAGTCGCAGCCAGCTTGCTCATTCTTTGTTTCTGTTTCTCCTGCAGGGACCATCCCATCCCACACCCTACGGTGCCGAAAGAGGGGCGGGTGAAAGGTGCCTGGGCTCAGCCCAGGGCTTCCCACAGGTACGCAAGAGCCAGATCATCTCAGCCAGGTCCCCAGGAAACACATACAATGACGCCAGCAGCTCAGGGAAGTCATTTGAGGAAACTGAGGTTCCAAGAAGCAGCCTAAACCCTGATACTCAGCTACCAGGTGCTGGCACCTGGAGGCAGAATGCCAACCAAGTGAGGGCGGCCTCATCTGAAAGCACTTGGGTTTGAGCCCCAGCACACCACCCAACATTGCCAAGTACTATCCCCTGCGCCCATGGGGAGACCCCTGCCACAACAAGGCGGGACTCTGCGGCACCATCAAAAGCCTCATGAGAGCTGATAAATTCACAGCCGACATCCAATCAGAACAAGAAAACATTTCAAATACGTGTATTGGGGCTGGAACAATAGCACAGCAGGTTGGGCATTTGTCTTGCATGCGGCCAACCCGGGTTCAACTCCCAGTATCACATTTGGTCCCCTGAGCACTACCAGGAGTGATTCCTGAGTGCAGAGTCAGTACTAACCCCTGTGCATCGCCGAATGTGACCCAAAAAGAAAAAAAAAATCAAATACATGGATTGAATTACGTAGGGCAAGAACATAGCTCTGGGGCCAGGAGCACTTGCCTTGCGCATGGAAGGCCCTGAGTTCAAACCCCGCATGGCCTGACCCCCGGAGCAAGGCCTGGTGTGGTTCTTGGGGCCTCTGAGAGCTAGGTGGCTACTGGCACCTCTGGGCCTCAGCCTGGTTACTGAACTATCAGCTCCACTGGCTGAGTGTCACTAGGACCCAGGTCTCCTGAGCACTGCTTGGGAGCCTGCCTCCCGATTAAATAAAATGTATTAAACTAGTTCTGCTTTAAAATCATTGAGAATATCTTTCCAGATATGTATTACTCTTCCTTCCCCCCTCTCTTCACCTCCCCTCCTTCCCCCTCCTCTTTCATTCTCTTCCTTCCTCTCTTTTGCCACACTCAGCAGTGCTCAGGGTTTACTCCTGTCTTTGTGCTCCGGGATCACTCCTGGCGAGACGCTGGGGACCATATGTGGTGCCAGGAATTGAACCGGGAATTGAGCCCAGGTCAGCTGCGTGCAAGGAAAGCTCCCTACCCACTGAACTGTCTTTCTGGCTTCAGATATGTACTTTCTTATGACAGAGGTCTCTACTTTCTTACCGAGTATGGTTTTAAATATTAAATCAGTGAATGGTTCCGTGTACTAACTGCACAGAAATACACAAACCACTCAGAACAATGTCTAGCTAACGAGTGACTAATGCAATTACTTGGGAAAACGGCAGCTCTTCTTACTATTAAGACTTCTAAAATATTTCCCAGAAAAACAATAATAAAAACAAACTTTTAATTTCATCAATAAAAAGCTTTATAGAAATGTCAGACTTTTTTTTTAAAAAAAAGAAATCATTCTATAACCATGTTACAAAGCATCCAAAGTGCTCTGCCTATTGAGCTGAGCACGCTGTTTATCACAGAACACCAACCCTGCCTTGGGGACACCCGTCATCAGGCCCTCCCTCTGTGTTCTTACCGTTCTTGCAGACGCTGACATTCAAAACGCCTTGGCCCAGGCAGTTTCCCTCAGGGATACAGAAGCCGGCGTTGTCTGAGGTGTTGGCCAGGATTTCTGCAGGCAACGTAAATCTATAGGCAGGCAGCCCTTGCACACTCTGGTAGTCACTGAATTTTATATACACTGACCTATTGGGAAGCAAGAGTCAAAGGTCAAAGCTGGCTCTAGGTAGTGCCACCTGCCTTGATTCCATCAGCAACAGTTTTCAGGTACAACCTGAATTATAGGATGTGAAGAACAGAGATGCTACATGAATAAATATAAACATTTCATAGTATATGAGACTAATACCCAAGAACAGTAGAAACAAGGACAAGGAGGATTAGTCTATGATTGGAAGCCCCCTCAAGTGCTAGGGGAAAAGGCAACTGGGATGGAGAAGGGGCCATTATGACAAAGGTAGTTGGAAATGGTCGCTCTGGACAGGAACTGCGTGCTGAAAATAGGTAAAGGAACAAACATGAACACGAACCATTTATTTACTTCAACAGAGTTGTACACAATTCTGTCTCTGGTCCTTCCATCAGTGGCCCAGATGTAAGGACCAGAGACATTATTATTTAGCTTTACTGCCCACCTTCACTTTACACAGCAGCCGTGTAATGCACAAAGAACTTTCACCTGTGCTATCTGACCTGATCCTTCAGTCATGCTTTTGAAGCCCTTCCTTTTGGGGTCTTGCTCTTTCCTCTCTTAACCAGAGGTGGGACCCACTGCACAACTGTGCACTATGAATTACACTGGGTGCTGCCTTCCACTGTACATCCCACCGAAGGGCACTCCCAAATGCAAAATTTTAGACAGAAAAATGCAGAAAATATGACAACAAATACACGTGATAGCACATACCATTCAGATAAAAAAAAACTTGTGCATAAAAAATTTATTATGCACAAGGCTGAAGCTCTCTGTATGGCCTGTTTGATTCTAGTCTTACTCTGTGTTCTCAAGTAACCCCTATTCTGAAGGTGGAGCTTACTCTCATGCAGGTCTTTATGCTTTACCATAGTCTCTGTTCATAAACAATCAAATAGCCCTGTTTATGTGCTACTTGAAATATTATCTAACAAACACACACAGGTCTCTTTCTATAACTTGCATCATTCAGTATTACAGTTTTAAGATTTTTTTCTTTAAATAGGGTCACCCAAGCAGAGCCGGGACATGCAAGGAGCCACTCTCGGCGATGCTCAGGAACCAACAGGTCCAACCCAGTCAGTGGTCTGGGGAGCTGTGTAATGTCAGGGGACTGGACTCAGGGCCTCACACATGCTTGGAGTGTGCTCTGCCACTTGATGGACCAGAGACTGTGTTCTTCCACTTGATCCAGATTCCTCACCCTGGGAGATTTTATGTGTGTGTGTGTGTGTGTGTGTGTGTGTGCATATGCATATACGTACACATATACATATATACATATATATCTATTAAAATTTCTTAACTGCAAAATATTCTATTTATACATTTTTGTTTGTTTATATTTTTTAATTTCTTACCTACAAAAGTCAGATGGGAAGACATAGAGGGTTTCATTTTGGGTTACTAAAGGGTGGAAAGAATCCCCGTCCGTTCCATTGATCATGTTGCATCTGTCTGTGGTCCACCAGTCGAGTGACCTGTATTGGATCAGCACAAGAGTCAAGGTGATGAAATCTGATTTTCTATTTCTTTCCAATGGGAGGACTCTTAACAGGGAGCTTTTTACCGTCCAGAAACTCATCCAAACACAGACATGGGATGCTGTTGGTTTAGAACTGATTATGAGGGGAAAGGCCCCTGGTCCTGAGTATATACATATATATACATATATATTTATATTTATATTTTATATATATTTCAGACATATATAAGCACAGCGGGTAGGGCGTCTGCCTTGCACGCAGCCAACATGGCCGACCCGAGTTCGATTCCTCCACCCCTCTCAGAGAGCCCGGCAAGCTACCGAGAGTATTCGATATGCCAAACACAGTAACAACAAAGTCTCCAATGGAGACGTTCTGGGCCCACTCGAGTAAATCGATGATCAACGGGAGGGCCTTTTCTTTTTTTATTATATATTGTATATATTGTATATTATATATAAAATTCTGACAGAGACAGTAGTCAAACGTCACGTTCTTCAGCAAAGAATATTCTACAGACACTTTAGAAATAGCCATTTTCTTAAAGCAAGGCTCCACCTCGGCATTAAGAACAGCCTTAATCACAGTCAGTCGCTGACAGGGATCTTTGGAGAGATCTGACAGGCTGGTTAATAGTCCTGATAAAACATTAACTCTGTCTGCCCTTTGGCCAGTTCTCTGCTCCAAAATTAATAGAGGAATTCTCCTGAGTTACAAGAGAGCTTAATATTGCACCCACTTAATGTTCACTAAAAGCACAATGGAGATAGGCACTCTCTTAAAATTTTTTTTTCAATCATGGGACAAAAATGCAAAAAGATGAGGGCAATAATTAGTCATTTTCCTAACTTCTGGTCAAGATGGGCCTCTAAGTTCCTTCATTGAGGGCCTCTTCCAGGTAAAACACAGCAGAATTGAAAACACACACACATACACACACTCATATGCATACATCATTGATAAAACATACGTATGGAGGGGAGCAGAAAGATAATACAACATATAGGGAGCTTGTTTGGACACAGAACCAGGAAAAATCCCAGAGCACAGCAGGAGTGGTCCCCCCCAAAAATAATTCAATAAATAAATGCCCATATACACAATTGATCAACACTTCTACACACACACACACACATACATTTAGGAAATTCACACTACTATTAAATACAAATATTTTCTTAAACAATGAAACAATAAATGCAACACGGTGGGTCGGGCTAAAGCTAAGGCCCCCTGTGTCTGTGGAGGAGGAATCAAGGGCCAGTGAAGTCCCACTGCAGAGGTCAAGAGAGATCAGGAGACCACCAAGGCTAGGAACGGGGGCGGAGGAGGACAGGGATTCTCTGTTCACGGAAGGCCAAGGAAGGCAGTGAGGGGTGGGGAGGTAGGCGATGAAGGCGGACCCTCCTGAGACACTGAGCAGAGCTGTCTGCCCACGATGCTCCAAGCTGGGGGTGTGACTTACTCTGTAACTAGGGGTGACAGACACACCCGTGAGCCCTGCCTGGGACGCGGGGCTTAGCAACAGCAAAGTTGCCATCAGGAAGAGACGAGTCAAAAGCCACCTGATTTGAAAAGTATTTGTGTTGCGGCCACAAAGAATAATAGGTGGAAGAGTAAAAGTTTTTCCCTGGCTTTTAATTCATGCCTGGGCACGATAAATACACACATCATAAATATTTAATTTTATAGTATACTATTACTAAGTTCTGATTCACAAATTTATAAGGGCAAGGATTATTGATTTGTATTTATAAGGAATTATGTCTAGTTATAGATTTCTCATTCAAAAACTCACAGGGTCAAGACATTTTTGAAATAAAATTGTGCAATTCGCTGCTATGTTGTGGACGGAAATGAGTATTACTCCGAGTATTACGCTGAGTAAGGTCAGTTAGGAGAGGGAGAAGGAGGAGTCAGTGAGGAGAGAGAACAGATAACCTTTCTCACCCGTGGGACGTGAAGAAACACAGGCAGGGAGTAACAAATGGTCAAAGACCACAAAACCTATGAACTGATGTACAGAACTAAGCTTACCAAGGGTGCAAGGAGCAAGGGGGGGGCGGGTTGGCAAGGGAACTGGAGACAGTGGGGGAGGTAGGCAGAGACTGATGGAGGGTGCAGTGTCCGAACCTTCTTATATGCATGAAACCCTATTGTGAACAGTTTTGTAAATCATGGCACTTCAAATAAAAGAAAAAAAATATATGAAAATAAAATTTTCTGAAAATAAGGCTGAAGCGGACATTCCATTATAATGAAAACTGAAAAAGAATTCCACTGGTAAATCTTTTGACTTACGTTTTTCCTTTCCATTGCACAATCTTTGTAAAGTTGAGATAACTGTCCTCTCCCGTGAGAAAAACATAGTCTCCATCATTTGTTCCATTTTTCTGAGGAAAAAAAAAAAAGAAAGATGATCCTTTCAAGTAACTGGTTAACTATATACGTGTCACCTTAGTCGGGCTCTGGGAGCCCAGCTGTTTTGGTAGAATACAAGTCTCGGTGTGTCTATGTTCTGTGGGTGTGACTGCGTTTACGATGGGTGCACTGTTAAGTGGGGAGATCACCATCCAGGGGCTGCCTGGGGAAGCCCAGGATCTGTACCCAGCACTACACTGGCCCCCAGAAAAGCTGGGTGAAGCCCCCTTCAGCACCCCAAACAGGAAAGTGCTCACTATAATGAAGGTAAGCTCATCCAATCAACTGAAAACTTAAAAAGCAAAATCGAGAGGGAGGAAAACATGTCCCAGGTGTGGAGTGCATGCCCAGAATGCACGAGGGACACACGAAGCCCTGAGTTCCGTCCCCAGCACTGCTGACTGCACCCCATCACCCACCACTGATCACAGCCCCAAGCTGCCAGCGCCCCACTGGAGTGGTCCAGGCCTGGGCACCATGGGGGCAACCCCCAATGCCTCAGAATAAAGGGGGGGGGGAGCCAAATCCAAGATGTCCCGGAGAAAATGGAATTCTCCCGAAGAATGTAACAAACTTTAGCCGAGTTTCCGGCCAGTCAGCCTATCCTTTATATTTTACATTTGTCCCTGGTCAGCCTCCACAACTAGAAAACCAGTTCTTTAAGAGAAATATCTTGACAAACAGAGATATTGTAATAACTGTGTTTCTCTGAAGAGCTTTCACTGGTATAGTAACTAACACATTTCCCTTTCACAAAACTGCTCGTTTTTAATTATGAAAAATCACTCATTATATGGGCTGCCAACGTGAGCACTCATTACTAATAAACATTTACATGATTTAAAAAGGGTGAATAAGTCTCTGGAAAGAAAGATGGCGGCCGCACGGGAGCCTTGTGGACAGCAGGTTTGAGCCGCGGGGCGGGGGGGGGGGGGGCGGCAGGGACCTCATGGGAAGGGGGGCGTAATGGGCCGTCCTTCACGCCCGACCGAGGTCGCCAGCTGCCCCCCACGAGCGGGTCTCCGGCACGGCCACGACTCCAGAGCACAGAAACCAATCTCTTAACTATTTAACTTTTAATAGAAATTCTTCCAGGGTTAATAAGTAAAATAGCAGAAATCCAAAACCGCGTGGCTGCAACATCATTTTATTCTTAAACCAAGTTGTAGAAAGCAAATCATTTGACAACGCTGTTTCAGCATGTCTGATTGGGGGGGGGGGGGGTCGTAAACCCAAAACAATAATTGTGCATCTTCTATCGAAACAATGTATCTAGTCAAAGTACATAGAGTATTAACTAGAACTCATCTGCCTCACAGGAATTGGGAGGGGTGGGAGGTGGGGTTCTATTGGGGTTCGCGGTTAAAAATAAGTATTAGTAAAGGGAAATGTGTTTGATATTTACATGACTGAGACCTAAACCCGAAAGTTCTGTAACTTTTCCCACAGTGATTCAATAAAGAAATAAATTATATATATATATATAAAAGAAAAGTTTAAAAAAAAAGGGTGAATAAGAATAAAAGGAAAGTGGCCATTTTGTTAAAAATACTTTATTACTTTATGATTTTAAAAAGCATGAACCCAGTTATATAATAGGCAAAAGATTTTGAAGAGATATTCAAAGATTTGAAGAGACTGCCCGCTCCTCTCTGGAAAGAAAGATGGCGGCCGCACGGGAGCCTTGTGGACAGCAGGTTTGAGCCGGGGGTGGTGGGAAGTGGCAGGGACCTCATGGGAAGGGGGGCGTAATGGGCCGTCCTTCACACCCAACCGAGGTCGCCAGCTGCCCCCCACGAGCAGCTCTCCAGCACGGCCACGGCCCCGGAGGCACAAGGACTGACAGCATGCCTGCCCGGAGGGGAAAGGGTGTGGACCCGCTCGCCCGCTCCTCTCTGGAAAGAGGGCACGGCCACGACTCCAGGGCACAGAAACCAATCTCTTAACTATCTAACTTTTAATAGAAATTCTTCCAGGGTCAATAAGTAAAATAGCAGAAATCCGCGACCGCGCGACATCATTTTATTCTTAAACCAAGTTGTAGAAAGCAAATCATTTGACAACGCTGTTTCAGCATGTCTGATTGGGGGGGGGGGGTCGTAAACTCTAAACAATAATTGTGCATCTTCTATCGAAACGATGTATCTAGTCAAAGTACATAGAGTATTAACTAGAACTCATCTGCCTCACAGGAATTGGGAGGGGTGGGAGGTGGGGTTCTATTGGGGTTCGCGGTTAAAAATAAGTATTGGTAAAGGGAAATGTGTTTGATATTTACATGACTGAGACCTAAACCCGAAAGCTCTGTAACTTTTCCCACAGTGATTCAATAAAGAAACAAATTATAAAAAAAAAAAGATTTGAAGAGACTTTAATCTAAAAAAATACTCAGATGGCCAGTAAATATAAGACACTCAACAGCATTAGTCAAATAAGAAAACGCAAACTAAAACCAGAGTGAGATACATACAACTTCACACCAATTAGGATGGCAAAAAAATGATAGAAGAGGGGCCAGAGCGATAGCACAGTGGGTAGGGTGTTTGCCTTGCAAGTGGTTGACCTGGGTTTGATCCCCAGCATCCCATATGGTCCCCTGAGCACCGCCAGAATCTTCCTGAGTTCAGAGCCAGGAATAACCCCTGAGCTTCACTGAGAATGACCCAAAATGCCAAAATAATAATAATTATAACTATAAAGGAAATGAAGAGTATCATGCTGAATGAAATTAGGAGAGGGAGAGATACAGACAGATCTTTCATATGTGGGACATAAATACAGTAGAAGAATACCTAATGCCCAGAGGAAACAGAAACTGAGAACTGGTCTTCAGGAGGAAGCTGATCACAGAGTATGAATGGGAGTGGAAAAGGAGGGGGTGGGGTGGGGTGGGGGTGGGGGACACGGGGACAATGGTGGAGGGTGGAAAACAATGTGTGCAGGTGTGGTGCTGAAGTTTTGTGTATGTATGAAACCACACCAATGACAATTTTGTAAGCCATGATGTTTAAAATAAATTTTTTAAAAAGATCAAAAGGGATGTAAAGAAATCAGAACCTGAATACATTGCTGCTGGGAATGTTAAATAATACAGTCACTGGAGAAAGAAAATATATATATATTTTGCCCTTTTTTTGGGGGGGGTCACATTCAGCTCATGCACTCAGGAATTACTCCTGGCAGTGTTCGGGGGACCACATGGGATGCTGGGAATCGAACCCGGGTGGCCGCATGCAAGGCAAATGCCCAACCCGCTGTGCTATCACTCCAGTCGCGATTAGAATATTCTTGGCACTGGCCTAAAACTTTTGCACAGGACTCGGGCAGACAGCTCAGAAGTGAGGGGCATTCCAAAATCTGATGCCAGGAGCCACAGGCTTCCCTGTGCAGGACAGATGTAGCCTCCAAATCACTGAGGACTCTTGGCATCTTGGCCTTTTTCCTGGGAGAAACCCAAATGAAGATGAAATCTGGCTGCAGATACTCTTTGGATGAATCCAGCGGGTCTGAAAAGACCAACTTACCCCATAGAACAGGCCAAAATAGGGAGGGATGTCGGATTCGAAGACGTTAATGAGGGACAAGATCTCATCCTTATATCCCCAGAGCAGCTCGTGGACTGTGTGTGTGACGAACAACTTCTGCTGGTAGGCCTTCAGCAGCGCCTCAATCAGCTCGCGGAGCAAATGGTTCTGGGTCCATTCCATGGCTGTCTGAGGAGCAAAGGCAGACTCAGGCGGGAGCGGCCCGACCCCAATCTCTCCTACCATTCTTTATTTAGCAAGGGGGATTAGATACTTAAATGTCAATACGAAAATGATGTGGAGGAAAGATAAGCCAGTGAACTCTGCTCTGGTTGCATGCGCAAGAAAGAGATCTTCAGTCCTGTCCCTTCTCAGGACCACACGCAACAAGTGAGAGCTTAGCATTCCCAAGCACCCTGAGTTATACTGCATCACTAGACAGAGGGGGAAAAGCCTTGTAATTGCACCAACAGCTCTGGCCACATGGTAGCACCACCTTCTTCTTAGTAAGAGCCAGGGATGGACTTTGTAAGGACCAGATTTGGGATCTAATACTCTATGGTGGGCCAACCATCCAACAACATATAAATTATTCTCTGTTATGCCCAACAGAGAAGGCAGACTGGAAAAAATAGTGAAGTCTGCAGGGTTTCACAGACGTTGCTATTAGATGGAACTGCATCATATACAGATCCCATTAAATACATTATAGATACAGACCCCACTGCCACCACACTAGGCTACAATGCCCAGTCCACTCAGCTCTTAGGAAAAAAGGGGTAAGGCCAAAAGACATTTTGAAAACTTTACAATCCAAGACAAAAATCCAAATGAGAAAGCAGCTTTCAAATTCCATTGCTCCAGTGTCTGAACCCAAACGAAGAAATACATATTTTAAAAAGTATTAGCTGGGGCTGGAGCAATAGCACAGCGGGTAGGGCGTCTGCCTTGCACGCGGCCAACCCGGGTTCAATTCCCAGCATCCCATATGGTCCCCTGAGCACCGCCAGGGGTAATTCCTGAATGCAGAGCCAGGAGTAACCCCTGTGCATCGCCAGGTGTGACCCAAAAAGCAAAAAAAAAAAAAAAAAAAATTAAAAAATTAAAAAGTATTAGCTACCCTTCAAATTTCTTGGGAAATAACTGTTCACACATGTGCTAATCATGATCACAAAGCAAGAAATTGGGAAAAATTAATGACCAAATTTGCATTGTTGTCACCACTTGAAAATACTTCAGGGGCTGGAGCGATATCATAGCGGGTAGGGCATTTGCCAACCCGGGTTTGATTCCCAGCATCCCATATGGTCCCCCGAGCACCACCAGGAGTAATTCCTAAGTGCAGAGCCAGGAATAACCCCTGTGTATTGCTGGGTGTGACGCAAAAAGCAAAAAAAGAAAAAAAAACATTCAAAATACTTTTTCAGGGTGAAAAGATATCTAAAATCACCTTTAAGGAGGAGAAGGAAAAGAAATGTATTCCTTTTACTATTGATGCATATCTTTAACATAATGTCATAGCTCTTGAATCTAAAGCCATAGTAATCTTTTTTCTTTTTTTTTGTAATAAAATAGAATGAAGTTTTATTTTTTAATCTAATAATTAAGTCCCTTCTTAAAGACTTCTTTTTCAATTGTGATAATGCATCTGTGATACACAACACCAAATTAATCATGTCATCCATAATTGAGTGTTTGGGAACCTCAATTTTAATTACATTGTGTCAATTTCTCTCATTCAATCGGAACCCTGGTTCCATGCCAGGACCTAGTATTTCTTTTTCTTTTTTTTTAATTATTTTTTTATTTTAATGAATCATTGTGAGATACATTTACAGACTTAGACTTTCATAATTGTGTTTCAGTCAAACAGCCATAGGTAATCCTAACTTAGTCTTCTAAAATCCAAGTATTAATATTTAAAGTGTCTACTCACCACAGCGGGAATATTTAACGTTCTAATTAAGTCAGTTTTCGGGTCTCCAACAGATTGGTTTCTTTGAAAAACATAGGCCTTGTTGCTCACAGCAGATATTGTTGTTCCATTGTCTCCAAACTGAATATCAGCTTTGTCTCTGAGTTCACTAAAGAAAGAAAGGAATTTGTTTGAAAATAGGCACCCTTCCATAAGTTCTCTTCTTTTCTTTCAACATCAATTTTTAATTAATTTATTTATCTTTTGGGGGGCCAGGCCCAGCGATGTTCAGGGGTTACTCGTGGCTCTGCACTTAGGAATTACTCTTGATGGTACTCAGGGAACCGTATGGGATATGGGGATCAAACCCGGGTTGTACAAATGCAAGGCAAGAGCCCTGCCTGCTGGACTACTTGCTCCAGGCTGGAGCAATAGCACAGCGGGTAGGGCGCTCGCCTTACAAGCGGCCAACATGGCCGACCCGAGTTCGATTCCTCCGCCCCTCTCGGAGAGCCCGGCAAGCTACCGAGAGTAATTCGATATGCCAAACACAGTAACAACAAAGTCTCCAATGGAGACGTTACTGGGCCAGCTCGAGCTCTTTCACCATCATTTTTAAAAAAAACAAAACAAAACAAATCCTTTCACTATTGTCATTAATAAAAAGAATATATATATATATTCCCAGTTCCCAGATGCTACCCAGAGACACAGATGGGTGCGTGTTTGTCAGCATGCAGATCGTTACAACAAGCCAGCTGACCAAAAACCTGTAAAAGGGATTAGAGGTCGTCCCAAAAGCCTCCGTCCCTCTCGGAGAGCCCGGCAAGCTACCAAGAGTATCATGCCCACACGACAGAGCCTTACAAACTACCTGTGGAGTATTCGATATGCCAAACACAGTAACAATAACGAGTCTCATTCCCCTGACCCTGAAAGACCCTCCAATATGACAGCGTTGGGAAAAGTGAGTAAGGAGAGGCTGCTAAAATCTCAAGGCTGGGACGAATGGAGATGTTACTGGCGCCCACTAGAGCAAATCAATGAACAATGGGATGACAGTGATACAGTGATAAAAAAATTGGTGACTAAGGCTGGGAATATGGGCCAGGAGTATGGCACTGGCCTTCCATGTGTAACACACACATATATACACACTCACACTCACACACACACAAAACACTCATCTATAAAGTGAGGGGGAAATGAGACCCAAGAGTCAACTCAAAAACTATAGTTATTGATCTCTGACCTCACATCTGGGGAAATACAATTGTGAGGGTCACCAGGACCAGAGAAGCAGTCAGTGAACCCTCTCTTGAGTTTCTTTCATCGCTCCAGGGTTTCAAATTTCTCGATTCAAACACTTAGAGCTCAAGGTTTCATTGTCATTCTGTTTCTCACATGGACTCAGCTCTGAATGCATTGATCAGAACGAGTGGTCGGGGCTGGAGTGATAGCACAGCGGGTAGGGTGTTTGCCTTGCACGCAGCTGACCCGGGTTCAATTCCCAGCATCCCATATGATCCCCTGAACAACACCAGGAGTAATTCCTGAGTGCAGAGCCAGTAGTAACCCCTGTGCATCGCCAGGTGTGACCCCCAAAAAGCAAAATAAATAAATAAATAAATAAATAAAAAGAGTGGTCAAAGTGCAGTTAGTCTGAGAGTTCTTCCCTTTTCAGATGCATTGTCTGGGTTGCTGGTGGCACCCGGATGCTAGGAGAACTGGCAGCCCTGGCTGCCATGTCTGGTGCCAGGACTGGGATTTGGGAGAAAGCCCATGGCACCTCAGGGGAACAACATATCAGAGGAAGCAGCATTTGCAGTCCCGCTGGTGAGTGAGAGGCAAGACTTCCTTCTAATCTTGCACTGGGCAGTCCTGAGCTTGCCGATTCCTTTTTCCTTGACATCTGAGTCCTGGGTGGGTTCAGAGCTTCCCAATGAAAAACACAGTAGGAAGATTGGCTTCCTCCCGACGTCTGCATTTCCTGGGAGGATTCCTACACTGCAGACCTGTATCATTCATCCACTTTCATCCTCTTCAATTAAACACCTCCCCCTTTTTTTTTTCCACATCCAGCTATGCTCAAGGTTTTACTCCTGACTCTGCACTCATAAATCAGTTCTGGTGGCACTTAGGGGAACCGTATGCAGTGCCAGGGGTCAAGTCAGGATCAGCTGTGTACAAGGTCTGTAAATTTCCTTTTTCACTTAACTTAGCCAGAGAGTTCGTCTCGCTGGCAAGCAAAGATACCTCATTGTACAAAATCATAACTCAGTTGTCTGACAGGTGAGAAAATGCAGTTCATGGAATGGCCCAGGACTAACCAGAAGGTGTGTGGTCCTAATACCCGGCCTCACACCCACGGTTTACTGAGTCTATGCAAAAGCTGACTTCGAGAGCTTTGGAGCAACTGAAAGGGATATGTCAGAGCTGAATCCCTGCCTTGGCTAAGGTTCAGACTGCAGAGAGGAAGCCCCCTCAGTGAGGGTGAAGAGGATAACTTCTCCGAGGGCAGCTATTTATAATGGGGTCCTGGGACCGCCCCCCCCCCCCCCCAACACTACCTCTTGCTGGCTAAGCTAACTACTCAAAGTGGGAAAAGTGACACTAATTTGCATTCAAGGAAAACCAGCCAGGGAGCCAAGCGCTGGAACTTGGTGGCAGTCTGGAAGTTCGAATTCAGCTCTGGCAAGTTTTCTAACAAATGACAAAAATCAAAAACCCTTGCTAAGGCTTTTCTTATTTTCTGTGGAGTCCAGGTCATGAACCTAGAGCCTGGAGTAAATGCCCAGCCCAGAGTCCTCTGCACCTGTGTTTATTTATCATGACTGATCCCAGAGATGACGTTCCAGATGTTTTCTTTATCACTTCCCCTGCAAAGGACCTCATGTTTTCAAAGGGAAATCGCACACAGAGGAACTTTAGGCCCTGGAGCTTAGCTTGATTTGTCAAGAAACTTCAAAAAAAGAAGAAAGAAAGAAAGAAAGAAAGAAAGAAAGAAAGAAAGAAAGAAAGTCGAGGTTTCCCAAACCACAAAAGTAAGCTAATTCCCCTGACAGGTAACTCAGGTAACTCAGCAAAACAAAGGATGTTCCTTGGTCCCCAGTCACTACGACTTGTCCAGGAAGGCTTCACCAAGGCAGGGAAGATGGCATCGGGGCTGTCAGAAATGCTGTCTGCTTGAGAAACTGAAATCCCAACTGGAGGGATGGCAAAGGGCCTCCCTCTCAATACACATAGACTTGGAGGGACCCCAAATGTTGCCCCTTCCCAGAATTCCTGTCACTGGGGGAGGTTTACAACACAAGGGCGGGTTGAACAACTACACCAGCGAAATTTCTAGCGAGGCCCTCTGAGAGCAAGAGAGCAAGGAGGAGAGGCTGGAGTGATAGCACAGCAGGTAGGGCACTTGGCTTGCGTGCTGTCAACCCGAGTTCGATCCCCCGCATCGCATATGGTCCCCCAAGCACTGCCAGAGATTGATTTCTGAGTGTACAGCCAGGAATAAGCTCTGAGCAGCACCACCCAGTGTGGCCTCCCTCCTTAAATAAATAAAGAAAAATAAAAACAGCTAAAAAAAAAACAGGCGGGTGCCGGAGCAGTAATACAGCAGATAGGGTGTTTGCCTTGCACGTGGTCAACCTGGGTTTGATCCCCGGCGTTCCATATGGTCCCCTGAGCACTGCCAGGAGTAACCCTTGAGCATCGCTGGGTGTGACCCAAAAAGTGAGAGAGAGAGAGAGAGAGAACAAGGAAGACCATAACCATGGTATCCAAGGCCAAAGAAACTTCCAGAAAGAGGAAATTTAAAAAAAAAAAGCCACCACAAAAGGCAGATGTTCGGCCAACATGGATCATTATGACACAGCTCATTATAAAGCTACACGTGAATGCCTGGGGTCAATGCCCAGCTCTCTGCTAATGCCAAGAAACTCTTGAGGATGGCAGGGGACCAGACTGCAGGCTGCTAATGACAGTGACAGCCCTGCTAATGACTACTCATAATCACGTGTGAACACATGTGGTTAGCTTTAGAGGTGCTTCATTAAACAAAGTTGTTTTTCAGGTACGTTCTCAGGGCCCAAGGAAGTTCAGTGGCCAGAGGTGCGAGGCGTGACACCTGGCAATGCTCATGGTGCCTCTGTTGTTCGGAATCCCTGACAGCCATGCAAAGGGGGTCCCCAGGGCACTGTGGCCAAGTGCTCATGAGCACACAAGAAAGGGTGTGCGAACGCTGGTCACTGCAGCAACAACAGAGTCCGGGGACAGAGAGAGGGGAGAGGAGTGAGGAGACAGGGAGAGATGGGGGGGGCAAGAGAGAGGGAGAAGGAGAGAAAGAACGAGAGGGAGAGGAGGGAGAGAGAGCGAAAGAGAGAAAGGAAGAGAGAAAGAGAGGAAAGGAAGAGAGGGAGAGAGACAGGGAGGGAGAGAAAGGGGAAGAGGAAGAGAGGGAGAAAGAGAGGGGGAGAGAGAAAGGGAGAGAGGGAGAGAGAAGAGAGATAGAGATAAAGGGGAGAGGGAGAGAGGGAGGGAGAGAGAGAGAATTGTTTGCAAAAACAAAATAAAATTTAAACTCTCACCATCCCAGAAAGCAAACAATAGACTGAGAAAAGGAAACCAAGAGGAGGAATCCATTTAATTAGCTGGAAAATTAGCATCTGTGCAACATTCATCCCTGGGAACTGCTGAGAAACTTTGTTCCATGCAAAACTACCACATAAGCCTCTGCTTAAAGGTATTCAGGCGGGGCTGGAGAGATAGCACAGCGGGTAGGGCGTTTGCCTTGCATGCGGCTGACCCGCGTTCGATTCCCAGCAACCCATATGGTCCCCTAAGCACCGCCAGGAGTAATTCCTGAGTGCAGAGCCAGGAGTAACCCCTGTGCATCGCCAGGTGTGACCCAAAAAGCAAAAAAAAAAAAAAAAAAGTATTCAGGCCCTTTCGTTCCTCCCCAGCTGTTTTCTGGGAAACTGCTGCGCCAGGCTGAGATCCCAGTGGAGGCTGGGTGTTCCATTCTGCCCCTCTCAGAGATCATGCTTGGGCACCACAGCCCCCTGGGTCCTATAAAAGGGAGATGCCGAAGTGCCTTCCCTTCCGGGTTGCTGTGGAATTAAACCCAGTCAGAACATGAGCTGACATGCACCCCCCATCTGGGAGCAGGAGCAAACGCTATTTCCAGAGCAGGACAGACCACGAGGCAGGCTGGCCCACAGGGCAGAGCTGAGGGCGTGGAAACACTGTCGATTGACAACACGAAAAGAAGTTCCACCCCAGGGGTAATGGATGAAAGGGAGTGACCGACTTGTTCAAGCATGAACTGGGTAACTGAAGTGTGATGATATATATTCTTCAAGTACATATGGACTATTATTATCCTTGGCATGGAGTTGTATATAGACTAAGATATAGCACTGTAGCACTGTCCTGCCGTCGTTCATCTATTTGCTCGAGTGGGCACCAGTAACATCTCCATTGTGAGACTTGTTACTGTGTTTGGCATATCGAATATGCCACGGGGAGCTTGCCAGGCTTTACGTGAGGGCGAGATACTCTCGGTAGCTTGCCGGGCTCTCCGAGACGGGCAGAGGAATCGAACCCGGCTCAGCTGGGTTGGCCGTGCACAAGGCAAACGCCCTACCCGCTGTGCTATCGCTTCAGACCAGACTAACATATAATATGGGGAAATTCCCCTTGAGGAAATATTTTGTAAATGAAATATTCATATTATGAATAGGCATAACACGTGTATATATTGTAATGTATCCATATAAAAGTAAAGTACAGACATGGAAAAAAAATTTAAAAATCATTCTTTTTTTTTTTCTTTTTTGGGAGACAACCACCGATGCTCAGGGATTACTCCTGACTCTGCACTGAGGAATTACTCCTGGCTGTACTTGGGGGACCACATGGGATGCTGGGAATCAAACCCAGGTCAGCCGTGTGCAAGGCAAATGCCCTACCCGCTGTACTATTGCTCTGGCTTCCCAAAAAAAGACATTCTATAAATATTAGCATTGTTTACCTTTGAGGCTATGAAGTTTTAGAGAATAGTAGTTTTCTCAATCTTAATTTAGAGCACTGTCAAAATTATCTTTTGTGCTTATGTATATTATTTTGTAATATAAGCATATTTTCCACCTTCTAAAGGTAGCGCTACACACAATATTACATATGATGACTATTTCATAATGGGCAATGAATAATATAAAAATATCTGAAATATATCCCTCACATTTTTCCCCTTATTGCCAAGGCAGTAATATATAATCCGAAAAAGTATAACACAAAACAGCAAAAATTTACCAAACCCAAACAGCAAATCTAAGAAACCCAAATCAGAGACAGTTAATGGAATACTGTCAATTCAGCATATAAATCTTTAGCTGTCTTGTATCGAAAGTGAAGTGAAACTGGTTGCACAAACTGGTTTCTAAGGAGAAAGAAGAAACAGTACAAAATGGAAAACTACTTCCAAGAGCTGGTAGAAACCATGGAATATCATATATGAGACCCACATTTACAGCCACGGGGTCACTAGGCAAAAATCCTGGCAGCAAATAACAGCTAGAAACGATGCAGTGTCTGGAAGAATGTGGTGGTGGGGTGGGCATTTTAGTCAATGAAATTCAAGGACAGAACACAAACACATGGCTCTCTAATTTAATACCACTCTGTTTAATGGGAGTATCGCTTCACTTGTATCAATTGTCATCCCGTTGCTCTTCAAGCTGCTCGAGCGGACGCCAGTAACGTCTCCGTCTCCATCCGTTTAATGGGAGTAAATGTATTTATTATTTATTACTGCAAATGCTACTCCTAGTGGATTACTGTGGGGAGGGGGTTGAAACTTCAGGCAGAAGCCCAGTTAAGCTCATGTGTGTTTGCTGTGGATTGCCATGGAAGTGAAATAACTGTGGAATCGGAGCAGAGAAGAGTCTGTGGTGTGAGTGGCTCCTGAGGCATCTCCAGGAGACATTCGTGCCTCACTCAGCAATAATGTGACTGGGTCCCTCTGAACCTAGAGACTGTGCTGCTGGATTCCAGACCCACCACAGTGCTGACTCAGAATGAATCAACCAACAACCACTTCTTGGGCAATCAACATGAGACTAGCGAGCCAGTCTGACCATTTGGCTGTTATGAAGAAGGATCTCTATATTTTTTTTTAGCTTTTTGGGTCACACCTGGCGATGCACAGGGGTTGCTCCTGGCTCTGCACTCAGGAATTACTCCTGGCAGTAGCTCAGGGGACCATATGGGATGCTGGGAATCGAACCGGGGGCGGCCGCGTGCAAGGCAAACACCCTACCCACTGTTCTATCATTCTAGCCCCTGGAGCACAAACTTTGGATGCAGGAGGCCTGAGCTCCACGCCCAGCACCAGAGGAGCCCCTGGCACTGCCGGGAGTGACCCCTGAGCACAGAACCAGGTGCAGTTCCTGAACACTGGGGTGTGCGTTCCCGTATCCCCATCCCCCTGTCCACCCCACACCACCCCCCAAGTCTCCTTTGGTAAAGTGAAGCTTGACAGGAAAGAGAGCTAGAGGGAAGGGGAGGAAAGGAGGGGGATACTCCTGTGGAAGTGGGACAGGAAGTTCTGCATGGGAAGCAACGCTCTGGCCATAAATTCATGTGTGTTTGCTGTGGCAGGCAATGGAAGTGAAATGATTGTGGCTTTGGAGCAGAGAAGACAGTCTGTGGCGTGTGAGGCTGAGCCACTCTCCAGCATTAATTAGTGACTCGAGTAGTTCTCGTAAACCTTGAGTGTTTAGAACTGGCGATCACAGCCACAGGCGTGAATCCTCCCTGCAATTTAGTTAGCTTTAGCACCGGGAAGGGTGGGACAGAAACAAAGCATCCTAGAAACTCATTTAGAACAAAGTAGAAGAGCTAGAAAACAGAGAAAGGCCCTGTAGGCGGTCTTATCTTAAAATATAGTACTGCTGCTGCTGCTGCTGCTGCTACTACTACTACTACTACTACTACTACTATCTATTACTACTACTATCTACTACTACTATTGTGGTTTGGGGTACTACTACTAGTACTACTACTATCTACTACTATTGTGGTTTGGAGTACTACTACTACTATCTACTACTATTGTGGTGGTTTGGGGTACTACTACTACTACTACTACTGTGGTTTGGGGTCTATCCCTGGTGGTACTCAGGGCTATTCCTTGCTCTGTGCTCAGGGAGTACCCCTGGCAGTGTTGGGAAGATCATGTGTGATGCTGGGATCTAACCCAAGTCAGCTACAAGGAAGACAAGCCCCTTTTGCTATCTTTCCAGCCTACCAGGCTGGTACTGTAAAGAGCAGGGGCGAGAGCGGCTCTCTGAGGCTTCATGCACGCAGCTGCACTTCCAAACAGGCGCACAGAGCCAGCCTTTGTCGAGAAATCACATGCGTGTGCCAACCCTCTGCAGCATTTCAGGCGGTTGTAAACAAAGCCCTCCCCCTCCGGAGCACTCGGCAATGCTCGGGCGCAGAGGGGTCCCTGGGCATTCCTGGCAGGCCAGGGAGGGGGAGGCTGGGCCTTACCTGTAAGTGTACGGCCCCACTTCTTCTAAGTGGGGTCTCTCCCCTTGGAGGATCTCCTCTGGATTGGTGACGTTGAAGAAATAGAACTGAGAGTACACCGGGATGGGGGGCTTCTTCCAGGAGTCGAAGGCCTCTGAGCCATTCCTTAACACAATGTCCTGGGAGAGAAAGGCACAGGGAGAAGTCGCTGTGAGGCCGCGGCAGGCTTGCACTGGGGGGAAAGAACAGAATGCCCCCCACTCCCAGCGCCCAGCTTGGTGGTCTTTTTCCTGGGCTCTGGCTTCCAGTTTGTTGAGAGCAGAGTGAAAGGCAGCAGGAAGCACACAGCCCTGTTCACGCCACAGAGCCTTCAGTCACTTACAGGATTGTTCCCACAGCCACGGCTCAGGTGGGAATACAGAGAACAATCAAGACCATAGATTAAGCACCCAAAGGGCCCTACTAGCCCACCGGTAGTTTCTGAGAACACTACACTCCCAGCTGTTGGTGCTAAGCCAGGACATCAGGACAAGCCTCTGGACGCTGCCCTGCAAGCAGAAAGCAGAATCGAGGCCCCACTTTGAGTTAAGCGGGCAAGCTAAGTTTGTGAGTCCGGATGATGTGGAGAAGTACAGCATGCTTTCTTAGCCCGCCTGGTCATACATTATCTTGGCAGTACAAGGCAGCAGCTTCCCCCTCTCTTACACATCCTTAATCTGGTTTGACCTTCAACTATCAGCATGAGCCTTCTCTTTGCCCTATGTGTAACCAACCATGAGAATGTGGGGGAAGTAATCTGTAGAACCTATGTGTCCAGCTCCATACCTTCCTCTGATGTTTCAATCATGACAACACAGCTTTGACAAGGTAGCTTTGACAAGACAATGTATGCCTGATGTTCTTTTGACGAATGCTCATCCTATACCTATACTGTCGTTAGTGAGTCTTTCTCTGTGATGAAGTCATTAGGATGTAAACTGATAAAAAATAGAATAAAAGGAGGCCTCTGGCAGTTGCTCTTCACCTCTAGCCAGATCGACGCCTTGTCCCTCCGTGCCCTTTACATTCCTCTCACGTGCCTTGTCTCTGCACCTCCAACTGAAAGAATATTCATGCAACACCCAGCTGTCTCACGGGAGAGAAGAACAGGAAGAGAGGCCCCCAACAGGTTCACTTGTCCTTCCAGTTGAAGGAGAAACAGTCCCAGCCCTGCCACCTTCACAGGCATCAAGGGCGCTTCTTGGGCACCTTCTCCACAACCCCCAAGGCAGGCACTTAGTACTGCTTGAAAGACAAGGAGGCTCCAGTTAGGTGATGCTCTTTGCCCACAATCCTCCTTCACTCCCCGCCCTGACTCTGTGAGACCAGTCAAATTACGTCTCGCATCCATTCATATATTTAAAGTCTGAGCCCTAGTCTTTCAGAAGGTGATGTTATTTGAAGACGGTGTCATTTGTGGTCTGTATTATAGATTTGCATCATCATTATGATGTTTAGAGAAATGAGGTCATTAGAGTAGGCTGTACTCCAACATAGCTGATGGTCACAAATATACACACAGGAACCCTGATGTAGAAGCACAGCAAGATGCCGGCCATCTGGGAGGCAAGGACAGCGTCTCTGAAAGGAACCGACCTTGCTGACACCCAGCTCTCAGACTACTCCCCTTGAGAGCCTGAGGCGATACATCCCCCAGTCTGAGTATCTGTCATGGCAGCTCAGCAAACTGACCCAGCTTGGCCCCTACCCTAAGATCAACGTGTCCCCCTGCCTCCCTCCCAGGAATAAGCCTACACAATGGCTTGCTGAAATGCAAGACCCCGATTTGGAGCAAAGACCCTGAGAGGCATTTGCCTCCACCAGCCACACTGTGCCAAGAGAAAAGTCACGCCCCAGCAGCTGGTGACCCTTTCACAAAGGCTCTCCATTGGGGACGCATGATCCAGACATGAAGCTAGTTAAACCAAGCCAGCCCTGCTGACATCGCAGTCACTCCGGACGCCTCAAGTGTGAAATAAACAGCCCCATTCAAGTGACTGAGCTGCAGGGGTTTTGTCCCCCAGCACTGCAACAGATGCCTGACTGACAGGGTACCCTAAGTTAACCAGCAGAAACTGATGTTGAGTAGCTTCCAAAGTCCACAACTTCTTCATGGAGGGAACTGTATTTTTTTTCCTTAAATTTTTATTAGTGAAACACCATGAGGTACAGTTGTAGACCTGCAAATTTTTGTGTTTGGGTTTCAGTTATACAATGATCGAATACCCATCCCTCCACCAGTGCCCATTCCCTACCACCACTGATCCCAGTATCCCTCCCACCCCCCTTCCCCCATCCCACCCTACCACTGTGGCAGGGCATTCCCTTTTGTTATTTCTCTCCTTTTGAGTGCTGTGGTTTGCAAAAGAGACACTGAGTGACAATCTTGTTCGGACTATAGTCTACTCTCATCACACATTTCCCATCCTGAGAGGAACGTCCCAACACCCTTTATTTGGTGCTCCCTTCTCTTTCTGAGCTGCCTTTTCCCCTAGCGTGTGCGGCTGTCCTCAAAGCCATGGAGTAATCCTCCTGGTATTTATCTCAGCTATTCTTGGGTGTTAGTCTCCTATTTTGGGGAAACTGTATTTTAAATAATACACAAGCAAGGGAAAGGCACAGATGGAACAAACAAAAGGTGAATAGCAATAACCTCCGTGCCGGGAAAATGCAGGATCCCTATTTTCTTCTAGATGAGACTCTGGATTTTCCAATTCCTTTCATCATGAATTAAAAGGAAAAACTTAACACTGAGAATATATATATATATATATATATATATGTATGTATTTGGCTTTTTGGGTCACACCCAGTGATGCTCAGGGGTTACTCCTGGCTCTGCACTCTGGAATCTCTCCTGGCAGTGCTCAGGGGACCATATGGGATGCTGGGGATCGAACCCAAGTCAGCTGTGTACAAGGCAAATGCCGTCCTATCACCCGCTATCCTATTGCCCTGGCCCCGAGAATATTACTGTTTTTTAAGAACAATGAGCTCTACCAACATAATGAGTGTAGGGCCACTAGCAAACTGATGAGAACTAGACTGCAAGAAAATGTCTCCACTGGGATGAGAGAGACGGCACAAAGATTATCACTCTGGCTCTGCGCCACTGGCCACCCTGTGGACTCTACCCCTAACACTACCGAAGCAACCCCTGAGCACAGAGCAGGGAGTAACCCCCACCCCAACACTGCTGGGTGTGTATTCAAAAACTGAACATGAAACCCACGGTTCTCTCTCGGCCACCTGCATTCAGTGGTCTTGGGCTGCTTCCCCCACCCGGGATGGCCAAGGCAATGGTGGAGGAAAGAGGAAACGAGGGCCAGGCTGGTTGGTATCAGTTGCAGTTTAGTTCAACCTCATCTCCGTTCTCCTCCTGATTCTCCTCTATCCTTCTCTCCCCAATTCTCCTTGATTCTTCCTGATCCCACTCCCTCCCCACTCTACCGCCTTAGTTATTTCCCAAATCATGAGGGGTTGGGGTAGCAATTACACATAGATGTGGTCATACAATCAACAGATGTAAAGTCCTTTTCTCAGGGGAAGCTTCTCCTAGGACAAATTCTCACCCAGCAAGATGACCCGCCTAAGGGCTAAACACCATCTATGGGTGCATTTCTCCTTTCCTTGGTCCAACAACCATGTCAGCGTTCATTTTAATTCTACACCTTAATAATATTAGTCATTTTGTATGGACACAGTAAGAGATACATTAAACTTATAGGATGGCTCTCTTGGGGACATCTCCCTATAGATCTCAGACTACAGTGCTCAAGCCAGATTAGTCTTTCCTAACCCTAGCAGGGTCCTTATTCAGTTCTTACTCTTTGGATCATGACAGAATTTGTTCATGACCATGCTCTTAACTTATAGTTAAGTATTATAGCAGTTGGCTTAGCCCATTTTGATGCCAGGGTAGCTCACAGCTTTCCCTGGGTCCATCCAGTCCCTCACTGGGACCCTGATTTTAAGGTATCAGGAACTAAGGGCAACTGAGGCTTAAGTCAAGAAAACAGATGCCCAGGAGTGAATTATTATTCAGAGTCAATTAACTGCCAAGTTACAAAAGCATAGCATTAACTGTCTTCCTATATCTATACAAAAAGGACATTGCTCTAAAGTAACCATGCAAAGGACATGAGGAGAAGAGAAAAAGCAATATTTCACTTATAAATACGAATGCAGTGACCTTAGAAGGATCTGACCTTACAATCAGACCAAACTGAGTCTGATTAGGGCATAAAGGTGATTGACCAGTTGGGGAAGCAGAGCACAAAGAAAGAGGTTACAGATAAACACAGAGGAATGTGAGTGCTTCAGGAGCACTGTGATGGGTGTAACCCAATAAACCTAAGCTCCCTGTGGCAAGGGAGAAAGGACATACCGATGTTAAACTTAAAATGTTTAGAGCTATATTCCAATAAACAGAGGAATGGGAGTGCCTCAGGAGCATTGTGATGGGCATTACTCAGTAAACCTAAACTCCCTGCGGCTAGGGAGAGTGGACATACCAACATTAAACCTGAAATGTTTGGAGTTATATTCCAGCACTGGGTCTGACTCATCCCCACGTTCAAAAGCGAAAAGAAAATTCATTCTCTATCATCATCTGACCCTTCTCTGACAGTGAGGCTGAGTGGGCAGAAAGCAAAGGGACTGACTTCAAAGCATATTGGAAATCCCGGTTCCAGTGGATCTAGACAAACGCACCAGCTAGCCAATCTCAGGCGTCCAGGCCCCCAGTGTGGCCACACAGTGCCCAGGGGGCTTAAAGAGGAAGCCCCGTTATCAAGCTGAAAACATCCCAAGGATCTGTAGGGGAAGAAAAGAAAGTGGCTCTGAAAGAAGCAACTATTGCTGCTGTCTCTAGAAAAGCAGACCACCCAGAGCTGGCGCTACTACGGCTCGGGGGTCCCGAGGACTCAACATCGCTTCCGGTGACACCCCACCAGAACGCTCCTGATCTTACCGTCTCTTCGGATGGACCAGGCTAAGAGCAGATTGGGGAGATGCAAACTTTCCAAGCCTGACCACCGACATCCTTTCCCAACCTTCAGAGTCAGCCGGATGCCTCCTGCCCGCCAGCACTGGGCTAGACTCATCTCATCTTTGCCCACCTGGCTTTCTGCTAGTTTGG